TAAGAATGAGGCAAGCTGTAATTGTCTAACTAGGAGATGAAAGAAATATACAGGCAACCATTAATTATGCAAATTACAACTTATATACAGATGGAGAATTCTTACATTTTTTAGTAAATAATTTGTTACTCAAGTTCTCTCAAATCCAACAGACATGTTCCTAGGGGGAGCTGTTTTTTTTATTCTTTATTTATTCAATTAGCATAATAGGAGAAATGTGCACTGCTGTTAATTTATACATTCATTCTTTCTGTGGATAAACTGACCAATATTTCTTCTGTGCTTACAGGAGTCCGGTACAGGGCAATGGTATTCAGGATAAAAATGTAATGGAAGACACAGTTCCTGCCTTGAAGAGGTTACATCTGGGTTGGGAGATGTATGATACATACACGAAACAACTGGGGAAAACACCAGGCTGGATAAAATCAAGTGTTCGGGTGCTTGGTTCAGGTTGCAAGCACTGTAGAGTCTCAGAAGCAAGAAAGATCACACAAGAAGAGAAATCAAAGAGCAGTTACTTTGAAAGGTATTTCATGAAGCTGCTCTTCCTGTCTCAGATGTCAGCAGTAAACTCTATGCCTCTTATCACCCTGGGAAAAGTTGAGATCAAGACTGTGTGATATTCCACACCTGCCCTGGACAGATCCAGCACTGCCCACTCTGAGAACAGCCTGCCAACCACCCAGAGAAGGAGCTCAACCATGGACTCTTGAAAGTTCTAAAATAATTTTTAAAAATGAAAAAGAAACAATTTCTATTCTTGATGTGTAAGTTCTTTGTGATGAATTATTAACTTCACTATACTGGTCTGTGGATTGTGGTTTGGACCTGCTACATCCATAGAGAAATTCAGATTCATTTTTGTTCAAATTTAGGAAACTGTTGTCACAATTCCATAATCTAGTGTGCAGTACACATTTGAATGTAGAAGCCAGCTGTTTGGTAGAATGTCCCTCAGTTTGAGTTTTATCAACTGTTTCTTCATAATTAGTCATTTTATGCCTCAGAACCCAACTTAAGTTCTGTTTTATGCCTCCACCAGGTCAGTCCCTTGTGTCAGGCAACTGCGGCGGTCATTTCAGGCCCAAGCTTGAGGGCTTGTCACAGGCGCTGCCCCTTACCCATGTTGATGAAGCATCATTGAAATTAAATTTCAAATTTTCTGTCTTTAACAGTCTCTCAAAGAGCCTATGAAAGACACTAACAGCATGGACCCTTTCAAATGCCATGTCTCTGTTGTAGACTCCTGGATCCCTCACCCTTTCAGGGATGACCCTGGCAATCTTCCTAT